TAATGAACATGGTGAGAAGCATGTTGAAGGGGAAGAACTTGCTGAAAGAGCTATAGGGAGAAGTGGTATCTACAACTGCCTATTTGTTGAATAGGTGCCCTACAAAGAAGCTGGAAAATGTAACACCTGAGGAAGCATGGTCAAGGTTCAAGGCAAATCCAAACCATTTGAAAGTCTTTGGTCCCATTGCATACAAACATGTTCTGGGTCAACTAGAAGTTGGATGGCAAGGGTGATGCGATGATTCTTGTTGGATATCACTCTATTGGTGGTTACAAACTATTTGATGCTGTAAACAGGAGGACCATAATCAGTCAGGATGTTGTAATCGAAAAAATGAAGCAGCTGCAGTAGAGCGTAATCGGTTACCAGAATCTTGTAACCGATTACCAGAACCTTATAACCGATTACAGGTACAAAATTTTGGATTCTGAGGTAGCAGGAAGTACAAAACAACAAACTGTCGAAGCCCAAAATGAAGGAAATGTCAGGAGGTCAACAAGGCAAAGGGGTTTTCCTCAGAGACTTAAAGATTGTGAACTGTTTCATGACAATGAGGTCAATGACGATGGTGATTTCGTCCACTTTGAACTTATGGCCGAATCCGAACCTGTCAATACAGAAGAGGCTTTAAGTGATTCAAAGTGGATTTGTGCTATGAAAGACAAGATGGAATCCATTAAGAAGAACATTACTTAGGATTACTTGATCTACCGAAAGGAAAGAAGCCGATTGGTGTGAAGTGGATGTTCAAAATGAAAGCAAATCCTAAGAGTGAGATAATAAAGCATAAAGGTTGATTGGTGGCTAAGGGGTTTTTGCAAAGAGAAGGCATATACTTTGAAGAGGTTTTTGCACTGGTTGCTAGGATTTAAACCATTAGGCTTGTTGTTAGTATTGCAAATAACCACAATTGGCCTATCTACCAAATGCATGTCAAATCCGCATTTTTGAATGGACTGCTTGAAGAGAATTTATATGTGGAACAACTCCCTGGTTTTGTTGTTAAAGAGCAAGAGCTGAAGTTCTATAAGTTGAAGAAAGATCTATATGGTTTGAAGCAAGCTCCAAGAGATTGGAATAAAAGGATTGATGGTTTCCTAAAAGACACTGGCTTCAAGAAATGTGTATCGGAGCATGGAGTCTATGTAAAGACGAATGCGAGTGAAAGAGTAATCATCCTTTGTCTATATGTGGATGATTTATTGATTACATGCATTAATGAGTAGAGTATTTCAAAGTTCAAGAGATAACTTATGGAAGATTCAAGATGATGGTCCTTGGTCTCATGACATACTTTTTAGGCATAAAGTTCCTACAAGTCAAAATAGAGATTGCTCATGCATAAAAGGAGATATGCTCTTGAGATATTGAAAAAGTGTGAAATGGAGCATTACAATGTTGCCACTTCTCTAGCTGAACCAAAGTCGCAGCTGTCTAAGAATGAAGATGAGGAAGATGTTGATCCAACTCAATATAGGAAGTTGATTGGATCATTGCGGTACTTGTGCAATACGCGACCGAACTTATAATTTAGTGTCGATATTGTGAGTAGATTCATGGAAAGACCGAAGGTGTCTTAGTTGGAAGCAGTTAAGAGGACCTTACGTTATGTCAAAGGTTATATTGGCTGCGGAATTCTCTTTCCCGCAGCGGATACAAGCAGAAAATGCAACTTGCTCGATTTCATTGATTCCAATTGGTGCCGAGATAAGGATGATCAAAAGTCTACAGATGTATACATCTTTATGTTCGGTGTGACACCAATCTAATGGTGTTCAAAGAAGGAACCGGTGGTTGCACTCTCATCTTGTGAGGCCGAGTACATTGCTGCTTCGTTATGTGTGTGCCAAGCCGTATGGCTTATGAATAGGAGTAATGCATCTTTTGGTCTTTTAACTTAATTTCATGTTTCACTTTCATCCCTTATTTAATAAAAGTTCATTTTATGTCCTTTAAATCAAGTTCCGTTTGTCACATTAGTCCTTTCCGTTAAATTTTGTCAAAATCTGTTTAAGTGGGCAGACATGGTACCCCAACTGACATTTATTTGGCTGACTTGGAACTATTTTATTAATATTTTATCATTTTTAATTTATTAAACATTATTATCCACAATATCTTTCTCACTTGTCTTAACCCTAGCCATCACCTCTCTTACTCTCTTCTTCCTATCACTTTCTAATCCTTTTTCGACCATTAAATCTATTTCCTTCAAATCTATTATTAACTCTCTTAAGTTTTTTTTGGTTTGGAATAACAAACACTACACATTCTTATGTTTTTATGTGTTGTTTTAGATTGTGAATCAGCATGATATTATAGCAAGATGAGAATGCGATTGAGAAAGAAGCTCCTTATAATCCTCCTTCGCGGTTTCATGTCCATTCGTTTTGTAAAACGTTGACAGCTTCTGTTACTAGTATCCATGGCGGGTTTCCTTCTTTTTCTTCGTTCTTTTTCTTCTCCCTCATTGTGTTGTTTCTTCTTTCATTTTTCCCCTTATAAGCTTATAGTAAAAATTGGAGGTGTTTTGTTTTTTGATAGAACATGTCAAAGTAACCACCTAGACTTTAAATCATCATTTAATATCTTTAATTTATATCTCTTGATTTATTTTTTACTTAAAGTCTATTGTTTTGTTTTGTTTGAGTATAATGTGTGAATTGATTTTTTTTCCAGGGTTATGTTCTGTTACTCTTGTTGCTTTTGACTAATTTAGGAATTTCCAGAGGTGAGAATGAGGAGCTTCGATTTACATCTCTTGATTTCTTTTTCACTTAAAATGTTGTAGCTAGAGATGGAAAGTAAAGAAGAGTTGCGCCAAGTATATGGTGAAATTGATGTTCATAAAAGGTACATACTATTTTATGGAAGTGAAGAATCATGAATTTTATAATTTCTCTTTTGTTTTCAGGTTGCACAATTTTTTTCTCGCAGCTCTGCAAAATGATGAAAGGGAAAACTATTCTTGAGCAGTAGAATTCTGAAATTGCTCATGATATCCATGGTCATTTGTGCTGCAAATTCATCATCAACAAGATCTGAGTTGTTTTCTTAATTTCTAGTTTGTATAGTGTGAATCACAATATTATACAAATTTGTGCTAGTTGATTGTTGATTTTTCACACTTCTGGATTTTATTTTTTATGTTCTGTTGTTGTCACTCATTACTCCAAAAATAAAACCTCTTAAATTTAAATAAAATACTAATTTTTTAATATAAATGTTGATTTAACTTATTCAAAAATGTTTTGCTGTCATGCCATGTAGGCAAAGTTAACATTTTTTTAGAAAACTTAACGGTAAGGACTGATTTAACTAACGAAACCGTTTTTAAGGGATTAATATGAAACATTTATTAGATAAGAGACTAAAATGACATTTAAAATTAAACTAAAGGACTTCAGCACTAATTAACCCCTTATGAATATATTTAAGGAGCTAGGCAGCAGTAAGGGTGAGGCTGTCACACTCTTAATTGACAACGTTTCCGCGATTAATCTTGCTAAAAACCCAATTACACATGGGAGGAGCAAACACATAGAGATGAAGTTCCACTATTTGAGAGAACCAGTTGGTAAAAGGAGGTTACGATTGAGATATTGTAGCAGCGAGGACCAAATTGTTGATTTGTTGACAAAAAGGGTCACAAATGATGTTTTCAAAAAACTGAAGATGAGTAAGGGGATGATAGACTTGTAACATTTGAATTAAACTGGTGTGTTGAAGTTTGGTGTGATAATTACAAGTACTTATATGCAGTCTAGTAGCAAAGAAATATGTTTTTCGAAGGCGTAACGGTTACCAGTGATATAACTAGTTACCAATATAACTGAATTAAATCTATAATTAATTAGCTTCAGATGTAACTTGTTATCCATTTTAGCGTATCCGATTACATGCTTGGGTTTTTGTTTTTTTCCTGTTTTACTTGGTCAAAATGTATTAGAACCATAATATAAGTGTGTTTGTGCACTTTCAGCCACACCGATTAAATATTGCATTCTCACTCTCAATTCTCTCCTTCTCAATTCTCCTCTTTCACTCTTCATTTTCAAATTTTCTCAACTAAATTTCATGAATCTTGTGTTTGTTTGTTCTAACGAGACATTAGACCTGCAATTACTCCTAAAGTGAGTGAACTACAGCAACCCACAACCTCGGCATGCACGCACATCAACGATTCAGATCGTAGAAAAATACTTGGATGTTGTTTCAATAACAGTGACAAGCGTATTGGTGGTAGAGTTCGGCACGGGGCTATTGATCAACAATAACGGTTGTTGCGGCCGCTACTGGCAGCAAAATTGGGGCTCCAAACCGCCATCACCTCAGCTGTTAGGGTTTTGTGGCGAAATTTCTCAAATTCTTGATTAGGGTTTTTTTATCCTACATTTAGTTCAGTTATGCTATGCTCTTCTTTTCAGTTTAACTTTTACTGTTTTGTACTTTACATCAGAGAAAGGAATGACAACAATTGTTTGAAAAATCAAAATGCGGGAAAGACAAGGGGATGAAGCATAAAAAACACAAAGAGATAAGGACAAGGTGCATAAGAAACACAAGCATTGTCACAAAGACAGGGAGAGTCTGATTGGATGCACTGTCATCAATGCTTTGGTAAGGATCATTATGATTATGGATAGTGAAATGATGTTGTAGTAAGTTTCATATGTTGGAGTGTAAATGAATTAACCTCATCTAACATGGCACTTCTCTCAATTATATATAATACAGATATTTGTTTTTGTTTCTTTTGTTCTCGTTTCTTTAAATCTATGAATCCAAAGTAGACAACAGAATTTAAATTACCATTCATCAGATCTTTTTCTTAGCTTAATATGAAAGTTGCTTACTGAAAACTAACTTCTTTTATCATCATTGCAGTGCACAACACAAGACTGATTGGGTGCTGTTACATCTTATTGAACTCTAAAAAACAGCAAAATTAGTTGGAGAAAAAAAACTTGGATGTTGTTTCATAATATTTCAATTGTCTAATCTGCTTTCTCACCAACTGCTTTAGATTTCTTCAACGATTTCAGCTCATCAATCAACTGAATCAAGTTGTTGTAAGAGTCTCCACCTTCCTCTATACTCCTCTTTGCAGCATCACCGAGATTTCTTGCTCTTGTCCTCATTTCTTTTCCCTCTTGGCTATTACCCATCAAAATCTGCACAGCATTAACTATCTCTTCCCTTTTCACCACGGTTTTTTCACTAAAGCTATTCCATAACCTGTTTTCTTTTGCTCCGACTGGGACCCCTATCTTCAAAACATCAACAAGCAACTTCTCATTATAAAATTGCTCGGCAAACATTGGCCATGTAATCATTGGCAAACCAACACTCAAGCTTTCAAGAATTGAGTTCCAACAACAATGCGTCTGATAGGAATGGATTGGATCCCACAAATGATGATGGGAATGTGTTAGTTAATAGAGATATTATTGGACCTAAACAATGGAGGGTATATGTGAGAAAGAATAGGAAACTCCACAAATAAATAGGAGTTAGTTTAGGTATTATTCTCCATATAAATAGGAGTTAGTTTAGGGATTATTCTTCCTATAAAGAGGAGTGTATGGGGCAGTAGTTAGGCATTGATTGATTTTCTGATTTTGATATTAGGATTTGGGCAGTGAGAGAATTGTTTCTCTGACTGAGGAGCAGTAGCTCTGGAATTTATTTTACTTTTACATTCATTAATAAAATACTTTTCTTTATCATATTATATCATACCTCTGTTCTATCAATTGGTCCGACCTACCATTGTTCATGCCCAAAGCTCCTAAGATGGCTGACCGTGTTTCTGCAGTGGAAGAAAGGTTGGAAGGTGTTGAGGCTAGCATTGCTGCGTTACGAGAGTTCATTGGTGCTGAGATTCAACGTGCAATGGCTCATCGTGAAGTGCCGCAGCCAAGCAGTGCGGCAGTTTCCTCACCGCTGGATGAGTTTCGTTTATCTGCGAAGAAGGTGGAGTTGCCGGCATTTACCGGTGACGATCCGGTTGCATGGATCACTCGGGCAGAGACATACTTTGAGGTACAACGAATTTCGCAGGATGTTCGTATTCAGTTGACCAAATTGAGTATGGAAGGCTCTACTATCCATTGGTTTAACCTATGGCATGATTCAACGGAGGAAGTGTCATGGGAGAACCTTCGTGAGGCGATGATGGTTCGATTTGGAGGTGGGCGTTTGGAGAATCCGTTTGAGGAATTAAAGGAACTAAAACAATCGGAATCAGTAGAGGAACATATTGCTGAATTCGAACTGTATTCTTCACAGTGTGGTCGTTTGCCAGAACAACAATTTCTAGGTTATTTCATTGGTGGTTTACGTCATGATATTCGTTCTCGTGTGCGTACCTTCAAGCCTCGCAATCGTTACCTAGCAATGCAATTGGCTCGTGATGTTGAAAGTGAATTTGCAGTGGCTTCTGGACAAGGTTCTGGAGCACGTTACAAACCAGGTCATGGTTCTTGGACAAAATCTCAAAAGCCTAATTGGGCTTTTCGCGAAGGGGAAGGGAACGGATCTGCAACTCAGACCCAGCCTAATAATTCTTTGGGCCAAATGCGGACTGGTTCGGATTCTGGATCTCAAACCGTCTCAACACGTCCTACCAATTCTACAGCATCTTCTCGCCCAAATTTAGGTGACAATTCACGCCGTCAATCTCATAGTGTTCGCCATCTACCAAATGCAGAGGTTAATGAGCGTCGTGCGAAAGGACTCTGTTTTCGTTGCAACGAACGATGGGATCCTCTCCATCAATGTGCAACAAGACAGTTACGATTGATTATCTTGGGGGATGACGAAATTGTTAACGATGCAGGAGAGATTGTGGTGTTGGAGGCTGCGACGGAAGAAGAGCTCACACAAGAGGAATTAGAATGTAAAACCATGGGGCTGGTTGGTGTATCCACTAATCCAAATCAGGTCCGGAGGATGAAATTGGAGGGATGTTTACAAGGTGCCTTAATTCTGGTACTTATTGACAGTGGAGCCACACATAATTTCATATCACCTAAGGTGGTTGAAGCCCTGGGATTGTCTATGGTGCCTTCTAATCCTTTGGGTGTTAAATTAGGAGATGGTCATCGTGTCCTAACTAGGGGTAGATGCAATGGAATTCAGATGAAAGTGGGATCAGTGCAGATTTGCTTTGATGCTTATGTGTTGGAGTTAGGAGGTGTGGATTTGATTTTAGGAGTTGTGTGGCTAGAAACGTTGGGGAAGGTGACCATGGATTGGAAAGAAATGTCTATGGAGTTCAACCATAAAGGCAGTATGGTGAAACTACTTAGTCAGGCTGTAGATGATAAGATGGCTACTTTCCAAAGCATTATCACTCCTTCTCGAATGATGGCAGGCTGTGAATGGCCTACCTTGATGGAGGTGTTAGGGTCACCGGTGTCGTGTGTCTCTGATCAACAGACTAAGGAGTTGGAAAGATTGCTGGAGCATTTTGTTATTGTGTTTAAAGAAATCCAAGGTCTTCCTCCGTCAAGAAACACTAGTCATTCAAGTGAACTTTTACAGGGTGCGGGTCCGGTAAGTGTGCGACCATACAGATATCCTTATTTACACAAGGATGAAATTGAAAAACAGATTCAGAGCCTATTGCAACAAGGGGTGGTTAGAAACAGCACCAGCGCTTTCTCTAGTCCCGTCATTGTGGTCAAGAAGAAGGATCAATCTTGGCGTATGTGTGTAGATTACCGTGCACTCAACAAGGTAACAATTCAGGACAAGTATTCTATTCCAGTTGTAGATGAATTGTTAGATGAGTTACATGGCTGTAGTTATTTCTCTAAGTTTGATCTTAAATCCGGTTATCATCAAATTCGTACGAAGGAAGAGAATATTCATAAAGCTGCTTTTCGGACTCATGAGGGTCACTATGAGTTTTTGGTAATGCCGTTTGGCCTCACCAATGCTCCTGCAACTTTTCAATCGGTGATGAATGCAATTTTCAAGCCCTTTCTACAGAAGTTTGTCCTGGTTTTTTTTTATGCTATCCTAGTATACAGTAGTAGTTGGGCGGAACATTTACAGCACTTGGAGGTGGTTCTTAATATTCTGCAGCAGCATCAGTTTGTGGCAAATCGGAAGAAATTCACTTTCGGTCAGCACCAAGTGGAATATTTGGGCCATGTCATTTCCAAAGCAGGGGTTGCTGTTGATCCTACCAAGGTCAGCAGTGTGTTACAATGGGAAGGGATGGATGTTGGAGATGCTACCTGGGAAGAGGAACTGTTGCTGAAGAGTCAATTCCCTGATCTGCGCCTTGAGGACAAGGCTAATGTTGTAGGTGGGGGTGATGATAGGAATGGATCGGATCCCACAAATGATGATGGGAATGTGTTAGTTAATAGAGATATTATTGGACCTAAACAATGGAGGGTATATGTGAGAAAGAATAGGAAACTCCACAAATAAATAGGAGTTAGTTTAGGTATTATTCTCCATATAAATAGGAGTTAGTTTAGGGATTATTCTTCATATAAAGAGGAGTGTATGGGGCAGTAGTTAGGCATTGATTGATTTTCTGATTTTGATATTAGGATTTGGGCAGTGAGAGAATTGTTTCTCTGACTGAGGAGCAGTAGCTCTGGAATTTATTTTACTTTTACATTCATTAATAAAATACTTTTCTTTATCATATTATATCATACCTCTGTTCTATCAGCGTCACTATCCCTCCTGTTGCAGGGTGGTCCAATATCAGAAGCTGTGGTGCCCAGTTCCATATGATATATCCCTTGTTGCTTTCTTTCATCCTTTCCTCAAAATCTTGCAGGAAAATGTTTTCACTGTCGTCCTCGTCATTTTTCCTTACAACCCAAATAAAATTATGACCTGAATTTTCAAGTCCCTGAGCTAGTTCAACAATTTGTGCATGAAAGAGCCTAGTAAGGCTTCCAAAACTTACATACAACACAGACTCATTTTGATGTGAGTTGAGCCAATTTAGTAATTCTGTCTCTTTTCCAATGGTCTTTCTTTCATCATCCTTGTTAGCCCAAGCTGAAACTGGTCCTACACTCCATGATTTGATCCCCATTGTAGTTTGACTAAGCTTCTCATAATCACTTTCAAGTTCATGAAAACTATTGTGTAGTGTCCCATAGCTTATTTCCTCAGATTTAAACACTAGTTCAAAATAGGCTGTGACATCATTCTTCTCTCTTAACCAATCAGGAATCTGCAGAGGGGTCATCTCAATGGTATGAGGCAAACCAGGAATTGTAAATTTGTGCGTATCAGAAACTAAATTATCATGAGGTCTATACTTCATGATCAAATGAGCTGCACAGTTAGAGAAATAGCTTGAGCTGTAATAGTAAATCCTTGGAACACCTAGTTTTGCAGCTGCTTCCACAGTCCAGGCATACATCATATCAGTGACTATGCAATCTGGTTGAAGATCGCAAAACAGAATCTCGATCGGATTTTGGAGCATCCATATTCCACGGCTGATTTTACCAAGCATTTCAAGGGAAGTGCCATCTTTGACGTTTTCAACACCATCAGGGAGACCAACTTGAACTGAAGGGAACTGAATAAGCTGAGTTTTGATGGAATATCCTGAATTGAAGTCACTGTCTATGGTTTTTTGGAAGGTTGAAGCATTAGCATGTGTGGTGATGATGGTAACATTAACAGCATGTTTGGCAAATAGCCTTGTTGTGTCAATCATGGGATTCATATGGCCAGGAGTTGGAAATGGAAGAAAAATAACATGAAGTTGGTTATGGGATTGTTGAGATTCCATTGTTGCTTTTGAAATCTTTGAGATGGATCTGTGGTCATGTCATTTACTTGGGAAGTTGATACTTAAGGATAAGTTTCTGTGGCTGAGAGATTGCCTTACAATCATTTGTCTGACGAGACAAGACAGCCACTCCTCTCCACATAATTAAGTATTCGAATTTTTTTACTGTTTGCCACCCATTTCTCTCCTTATATCTTCCCAGTCAAGTAAATTCTCAATGTATCATGTTATAATTTGTGGGATTTCGATAAATTACAAATGGAGTTTAGAAGTCAAACCATAAAATTTATAGTAAGAGGTGCTAAGGTCTATTTCTATTCCATCAAATTGATTTACAACAAAAGTTTCTCTCATGCGGTATACAATGAGTTTTATTTTTATTTTTAAACAGCAATACAAATAATGCATTAAATAACAAAGGCATAAGCAATGCCAAGCAAAACAAAGATCCAATACCACTACTACAAGTTATTCTGCAAAAACAAGAAAAAACAGCCATTGAAGTAGAACCAAACACCAGCACCAATTCGACCACTCACTTACCCTAACCCAAGCACCTAGTACAAGAGAAAATTAAGGAAAACAATCTAACACAATTCTCATACAGGCCCCAAACCTCAAACTAGACCCGGTCGAAAATGTTGACACACCGTAATTGTACAAACATGCCGAACAAGCTGCTGACTTTAAACCTCCCCTACACAAATACTGAAGCAATCAATCTACCTGTATACAATGAAACCTAACCTCCTCTGCACAAATACTGAAGCAATCAATCTACCCGTATACAATGAAACCTAACCTCCTCTGCACAAATACTGAAACAATCAATCTACCAGTATACAATGAAACCTATAGATCTGCTACTGAAGCAATCAATCTACCAGTATACAATGAAACCTAACCTCCTCTGCACAAATACTGAAGCAATCAATCTACCAGTATACAATGAAACCTAACCTCCTCTGCACAAATACTGAAACAATCAATCTACCAGTATACAATGAAACCTATAGATCTGCTGCTGACTTTAAACCTCCACTGCACAAATACTGAAAGAATCAATCTACCAGTATACAATGAAACCTATAGATCTGTTGCAGCCGCTCTACACTAGGTTACCGGTATACAATGAAACCTATAGATCTGCTGCAGCCGCTCTACACTAGGCAGAACAACAACCGAGAACACCAATTATCGGAAGGGCACCACAACATAACCAAAAGAAACCATAACAAGACTGACTAATTACAACTATTACTACATCAGTTCAACCAAGATGAACCAACTCCCGTCAATGTGCTAAACCACCAAACCCCTTGAGCCTTGAAAGCAAAATATTACTGAAACTAGCACTACAACTGAACACATCTACTGGCCTTGGCCTCGACTCATTTGACCCACCGCGGTGAAAGTTCATGCAACCTCAGAATCCAAATAGACCTTGGAATTTAAACACCACACAACAAAATCATCCATGATCATCTTTTATTTTAATTTTAGCCATCTCTATGAGTAGGGATGAGAAGAAAAAGTCAGGCCAGCCTACAAGCGCATATAACCTAGTCTATTTAATGTCAAGTAAGACCAGACTTATTTAATAAAAAATTCAGTCTTAAGTTTTTTTCAAAACCTATTTAATTAAATGTGTTAGGCTTAGGCTATTAAAAAATCATATAAAGCCTTATAAATCAACCTATATTTTCATATATATTAAAAATAGTTTAAATAGGATGACCTATATATGCATATATATTAGAAAAAATGATAAATAGGCTGACCTACATATGCATATATATTAGAAAAAAATGTTAAATACATCAGCATATATATGCATATATAGATCAACGCATAAGACTTCTTAAGTAATATGGATTAATTGAAAACCTTATAAAAAAAATGACTTTAAATGGGCTTTTAGGCCAAGTTAATGTTTTAAAAAGGCTAGACCAGACAAAAAAAGAGAGTTTATAGCAGGCCATATGCCAAACTCAAACCTTATAAGTTTATCGTAGGCCAGACTTAGGCCTTCTAAAGCCTAGTCTAGCCTAGCCTATTTTCACCCTTATCCTTGAGTATACTATTGCTTCCTCTAACACCTTTATAATCTGAATTTCTTTATTTTCAAAGATTTTATGGTTTCTAGATTTTCATGTGCACCATATACACGCACGCCACAACACACGAATCTTCAAGAACAACTCTTTTCAACTTTCGAGCAGATTTTCAAACTGAATCATATATTGGCACCCTTCATTATGCAAAGATGTTGAAACTCCTAGCCACCTACATATGTTACTCCATACACCTGCAAAACATTGACACTAAAAAAAAAGAGATACCGACTCCTCACTCCCACAACCGCCTACACACCTATCCTAACCCTGCAACACTATACCCTTCTTACCAATATTATCTTTTGTTGCAATCCTATTCTGTATCAGCCTCCAAACCAAACTAGATTCTTTTGAGTGAATCAGTTTATTCCAAATCTTCAACTACAACTTCCTTGTCTCAACTGGCCCTTCAGGAAAAAGACTCTTGTAAACATTCTTCATAAAATATTCACTTGAACCTTCCAGCCTTACAACAAGGAACACACATCTTTCCACCAACCTGAAGTACCTCTTGCCCCTGGATTTAATCTCTCTCTATTCAACCCGTATCTATTAACTAAAGCCGAGAACCAAATACCCATTTTTTCTGTTCTAATTCTCCACTTCCATTTTTTCCAGTAAAGTTGAATTAAAAATCCCTAACTTTTTAATTTTCATCCCCTCTTCTCATTTGCACATTCCCAGCCTCACCATTATGGTATACAATGAGTTTGAATCGTGTCTTTTCATTTGCACAATCCTAGCCTCACAATGGAAATTCCCATTTGTTTTTTACTCTACACGACAAACGCTTGTTTTAATGATCCTCACATTATTTGAAACTCCAACCGTATATACCAATTTCTGCTAATTAACAATTGCATCAATAATTACTCACAATTTTTTTGGGGTCTATTTAAGGTGATCGATAAAGTGATCCGTGTTGCTTTCCGTTTAGAGTTATCACCAGCTGTTGAAATACACAGTGTATTTCATGTATCTCATATAATTTATGTTTCAATCCAATTCCTTTCCCCGATGTTTTGTTATCAAGCAGTGTAATTAGTTGTAACTAGGGATGGCAATTAGAAGGGTCTGGGCAGGGTACTATAGTACCCATCCCCATACCCGCAATTTGAAAAAGTACTCGTACCCGAGCTCATACCCGCTAGGGCGCCAAAGTTAGCACTCATACTCGTGCCCTATGGGTATGTAAGTAACCATATCCATACCTATTACCCGCGTTCCTACTAAAAATAAATAGATCAATTATAAAATATCATATCATTTTAAGTTTTTAAAAACATTAAAAAGTTTTCAAAAGATATATTCTTGAAATAAGTAAACACTCATATTAAATACATAATGGTTTAATATTGGTATACTTTTTAAAATTGATATACATACATTTTTTATATATTGTGCAGGTATGGGGCGAAGTGGGTGTTAGTTCATAAATTCGAAACCTCTTATGGATTAAGATATTTAAATAAAATATTATAGTCTTTTAATTTAGAGGTAAAGAGCCTGTCGAAAGGCCTGAGATCTTCGAAAGAGGAAGTTGAGATGTTCTGGAGACTTAGAGAAAATTATGAACTTTGGAGAGATTGGCCTTCGATCGAGATACTATTTGGGGATCGATTAAATGTTTGAAATTCAAATAATGGAGGGAGTAGTTTTATTTCTTGATGACTAAGAAGGACAAGTGGCACCCGTTGGGTAAAGGACTTCATGCGCGGTGACATGTGTCGGAAGATGATGACTTTAGGTGATTATTGTTAGTTATTTTTTACTATTATAAATAGGAGTTTTTAGAGGTAGAATCAGTGTGTTATAATTTACTATTTGTGCAAGTCACTCCTAAATTTACTCAAAGTATCCGAGTGTAGAGAAAAAAGTATCAAGGAGAATGTACGTGATGTAAACACACCATCTTTCCTTTTCAATGAAATTTATTTTACTTGTTTAACTTTACAAAGATTTCTTTACTTTTGTTGCAACCTCTTCCTCTCCTCTATGCACTTTACTTTATTTTTCGTCCTCAATCCTTCTCTAAGACTTCTATCTATTCCTTTCTAAAACTTTATCTTCTCTTTCTCTTTTAGTCGAATAGGTACTTTTTAAAACCTTTTACCGCAATACTGTCAAAGTGTAAAACTTAGATAGATTTCCAAAATAAAGAACCTTTAGCACATGTCCTAGGATCAATCTGATCGATCCTGTGAGTCACCAAAGTTAGATTTGGAAGATCAGCAGTTGCTTTCCATTTTTCAAGGAAAACAAAATGGCATGCCCAGTGGGACAGTGCTAAAAGTTTTTTTTACTAGTATAAGCAAAACTTGCAGAATTGCAATTTTTATTAGTCTTTCGTAAAAAAGTTCATTTTATGTTACTGAGAAGTGGTAAAATTGCCGCTGTAAACAAAGAGAGACTAACAAAACGAAGCTCTAGGAATATGGCGACATATATAAATCAGCCAAACAACCCTAATTCTCAAGGAGGCGGTTCTAACCAAGGACCTAGAAACGATGTAGTCCCGCCTTCGATACCTTCGACCGGAGAGCAAATAGTGCCTCCGGCAAGAGTGGAACCAGTACCATCAGTATTGGGTCATGGGTCGACAGTTGTGAGGGCTTATAATCAACCAGTGTTGGAGCCTATTGGACCTCAAGCGTCGAATCCCCAAACACCACTGGGAGGAAATTCGACGTCTAGACAGTTTGCTCCTCCCGAGTTTTTGCAATTACCGAGAAACCATCCGTACGGGATGTCCACAACTGTAATGCAAGGGCTCCAAAATGCTCCTTCAATATTCTCAAATAATGCAATGGCTTCGTCGTTGCAAGGATCAGGGTCTGGATTGAACATTAGTCGAAATCCCCAAAGTCTAAGCCTAGGATATTC